GCCCAGCTCTGAGCTGGCCACCTTAAAGCTGCCCCTGTGGGTTTTTCATTTGTTTTGTTTTTGAGACAAGGTCTTTCTGTATAGCCTTGGCTATCCTGGAACTCACTATATAGATGAAGCTGGCCTTGAACTACAGAGATCCTTCTGCCTCTGCCTCCTGAGATTAAAGGTGGGGATGGGTTTTTAACTGGTTGGACTCAGATTCCCTAGATAGACCTTTCTCATTCAGGTGATAGCTCCCCTCCATCACTTTCTCATATTTCACTCTTCTCACCCTCCTCTCCTGGGTCAGGGGTAACTGGATAGCTCCTGGACGTATCCCTGGCTCTGCAGCAGCTGGCCGCACTGATTTCTCTACCCATGGGTTAGTCAGTTTCCTGTTCCTATGACCAAATACCCGAGAGAATCAACTTAGAGGGAGGAGAGGTTTATTCCGGGTCCTGGTTTCTGAGGCTTCGCTCTGTGGTGTGTGGTTCTGTTGCTTTGGACCTGTGGTGATATGGAACATGAAGGTGGGGAGTTCTGGGAAAACAAAGTATTCATCTCCTGGTAGCTGGGAAATGGTGAGAGAAGGGTCTGGGGACACAATGAGACAGAAACAGTGGACCCATCTCTCCTGTGGAACTGGGTTCTGTTCAAATCTGTTAAAATTGGGCTGGTGGGATGGTTCACTGGGTTTCAGGTGCTCGCTGCTAGGCCTGACATCATGAGTTCCATCCCTGGACCCACATGATGGAAAGAGAGAACAGCTGTAATTCCAGTTACAGTTGATTGCCTCCAAGGGCACTGCACACAGACAGTCCATAGACACATTCAGGCAAAACACTCATGTAAATAAAATTAAACAAAATCTCCAAAAAAATTAAATTACTACTGAAAATAATAATAGTGAAAGAAATTAAAACGAAGAAAGAAAAAAATGTCTACATCATATCAGGCTGGGTGTGGTGGCACACACCTGTAATCCTGGTACAAGATGAGGCAGGAGAATTTTAAGTTCCAGGCCAGATCACCTAGAAAACAAATGAAATGTACTGGCTGGCAAAAGGCTTGCCTGACATGTAGGAGGCCCAGTTCAATACAAAAATTCAACACAGAAACAAGGGAAAAGGTTGAAGGCCTCTGAAAAGGTGAGTGAAGGGTTTCTCCTTCCTTCCTTCTGCATCTTGACAGACTTTCACACAGCTCCAGGGCCACCTAGCTCCAGGTTCTGCACCTGCTCCCATTTCCCTTAGAGCTCAGCTCAGGGTATCACAGGAGCATCAGTTCCTAGAGGTCATTTGATACACCTCTTCCCCCTCTAGAGGGAAATGGATGTTAGACTTCTGGCCCCAGGGCCCAGTTAGAGTCCAGGCCTTGAGCCCCCTTCAGCTAGGAACCAGAGACCTTTTTGTTAGAACTCAACAATCCTGTTCTGGAATTCTTCTTCAAAGAAGTTAGAGGCCATATTGTTATAATTGCCTATTCTTTTATCAGTTACCATTGGCACCTCCCCATTCCACTCCAACCTGGCCCCCCATTTGAGATAGGGTTTCATGTATACCAGGTTGTCCTTACACTCTCTATGTAGTTGAGGATGGCCTTGAACTTTTTTTTTTAATATATTTTTTTATTTTTTGGTTTTTTCAAGACAGGGTTTCTCTGTGTAGCTTTGTGCCTTTCCTGGTACTCGCTTTGGAGACCAGGCTGGCCTCGAACTCACAGAGATCCACCTGCCTCTGCCTCCTGAGTGCTGGGATTAAAGGTGTGCGCCACCACCGCCTGGTGGCCTTGAACTTTTTTTTTTTTTTTTTTTTTTTTTCCCCGAGACAGGGTTTCTCTGTGTAGCTTTGCGCCTTTTTCCTGGAACTCACTTGGTAGCCCAGGCTGGCCTCGAACTCACAGAGATCAGCCTGGCTCTGCCTCCCGAGTGCTGGGATTAAAGGCGTGCGCCACCACCGCCCGGCCGGCCTTGAACTTTTGATACCTCCCCAGCTTTCATTTCCCAAGTGCTAGGATTACAGGCTGGTGCTCCCACACCTAGTCTATTGGATAGGAATCCCAGGCTTTGATGAATGCTAGGTAAGCACTCTTCCAATTGAACTATACTCTCTTGCCCTGTTGTTAACCTCTTGGTGTGTCTAATTTATAAGTTACATTATCCCAGCTATATATGGACAGGATAAAAGAAAAAAAAAAAGGTCTGTGTGTCACTTGGTACTATTAAGTACTGTCAGTGTTTTCAGGAACCCGCTGGGGAAGCTGAGCATGTTCGTGACTGACACCCCAGCACTGAACAGGGGGTTATAAAGCAAGAACCCTTTGTAAGGCCAAAGCACGATGGCTTGTTGAGTAAAGGTGGCTGCTGCTATCATCTGACGACAACCTGAGTTTGATCCCAGGGACCCACAGAGTCGGAGGCGAGAACCAACTCCTGCACGTTGGTTCCTGACCTCCATGTTTACTGGTGGTACATACACAACATAAATAAATGTAAATTTCCAAAAAGGTGGGTGGTGCCTGAGGAACCCTCTGGTCTCCACACACACATGACCATGCATACACAAACTCAGTGGGGAATTAAGATGGAATCCACTAGGAGCAGGAGTTCGAACACAGTCCCCACAGACAAGGGGAGGTAGATAATATACCTTTGAATCCATTACTTTTGTTTTCCTCACGGTGCTGGGAATCTAACCCAGAACCTTGTGCCTTCCAGGCAAGCTCTCTACCACAGGTGAGAGCTCCAGGTCCCAGCAGCACATTTTCTAAAGCGCAGAGAACAACCTGGAAAGCCAGAGCTTTGCTTCGAAGCCCTGTGGTAGACATGCTGGGGTGGTGAATTTCTCGAGTGATTATAGGCATGCTGTAGGAAACATGCACTTTCATGATTTTAAAGAACAGTGTTCTTTCCTTAATCTGTCTGGGACGACTTATGGCCAAACCAACAATTTAATAAGTAGACACACAGCAAAGAACATGTCAGCATTTGGTTGTGACAACTTGCCAGCCCCCAGTAAGTCTGTTGTGGGTTACTGAGCAGACAGCACCCCCTGCAGGAAAACAATAGTCAGCATGTAATTTTATTGCCAATGGCAATTTCTCTAACAGCAAACACTGGATGTCCACATCTCCTGCCTCTCAGGTTTTGCTTTTGCCTGTATTTTGTGTTCTACCCTTGAGTCCCATCTCCCCACAGGAGGAGAGTATCTGTGTTCTCTAGGAGGCAGTATCTGTGTTCACAGAGCCCATGACTCCCCAGTTCCAGGTTGTGTTTTCCACAGCTAAGCAGAGCCAGGTTAGCCCCAGAACCCCGCCCTTTCATCTTCCCCAGTTGTCTCAGCCAGTGAGCGTCCTGACTGCATTACATGACAGTAATGACAGGATAGGTCTCAAGATGTGATGACGGTACTATCAGATATGGAAAGAAGCTGCCTCAACTTGACCAAGAGTGGCTGTGTGCGGGCCTGGAGAACACAGTTCCAGGCAGCCGAGGTGTTAGGTTAACTGGATACCTACTTTAACTGCTGTGGTCATCTTGCTAGGCAGGTATGATTCCAGGCTGTGCCTGAAGAGCCGAGACCAGTTCAGTGGTGTGACAGGTGACTCAGTGAGTCAGGAAGGGCCATGGTGGGTGCTCAGGACAGCCTGACTCTGGATCTTGTTTTTCTTCCTGGTGGATTTTTGGGGTGTCTTTACATAGGCCAAGCTGCCCATAGCTTTCCACTAGGAGAGACAGAGTGGCGATGGAATCTGCTCAGTCTTTTTCTTGCTTGGGGCCTGTCCATCACCGAACCTCAGCTTTGCTTCTGGGAACAAGATTGTAAGCATCTGCCTGGAGTGTCCTGGCAGCCCTCAGGCCACCCTTGGGATGCTCCACACACATCATGCCTCGCAGCGGTTAAGATGACAGCAGGCAAGCACGGGGCTAAACCTAGGCCCGCAAGTGGTGTGTCCACCTCTCCCTCCAGGCCGTGAAGACTTCGTCCAGTCCAGGGTCTTGTCGGCTTAGCAGCAGAAACTCTCCACCAAGACACCAAATCCTTGTAGAGGTCCTCGAACCTCAGAGTTCTGATGGGCTGTGGCTCACTCAAGTACACTCTATTTTTCTTTCTTTTTGTACTGGGGGGGGGACAGGGAGGGGATGGCGGGTAGAAACTCTGGTTTCTAGAGTTTCCACTCGGTACAGTTATGGGGCATCTTTTTTTTTTGGTTTTTCGAGACAGGGTTTCTCTGTGTAGCTTTGCGCCTTTCCTGGAACTCACTTTGTAGACCAGGCTGGCCTCGAACTCACAGAGATCCTCCTGCCTCTGCCTCCCGAGTGCTGGGATTAAAGGCGTGTGCCACCACCGCCCGGCTCAGTTATGGGGCATCTTAAGGCTTATCTGTGGCTTAGATAGCCAAGGAGTCCTGAAGAGGGTCCCAGATCTGGAACTGAAGTTATAGATGGTAAAGAACCATCATGTAGGTGTTGGAACTCAAACCCAGGTGTCCTCTTTTTTGTTTTTGTTTGTCGAGACAGGGTTTCTCTGTGTAGCTTTGCACCTTTCCTGAAACTCACTTGGTAGTCCAGGCTGGCCTCGAACTCACAGAGATTTGCCTGGCTCTGCCTCCCGAGTGCTGGGATTAAAGGCGTGTGCCACCACCGCCCGGCGGTGTCCTCTTATATAGTAGCAAGTGCTCTTAATTCTGAGCCACCCCTGCCCTTTTTTTTGGAGATCTGGAACTCACGAAGTAGTCAAGCTGAGATCCACTGGCTTCTGCCTCTCAGGGGCTGGGATTAAAGTTGTGTACCACCAAGCCTGGCTTACTTCTTTTCTTTTTTTTTTTTTCTTTTCTTTTTTGGAGACAGGGTCTTTGTACATACCTCTGATTATCCTGGAACTCATTATATAGATCAGCCTGGCCTAGAACTCAGAACTCAGAGATCCGCCTGCCTCTGCCTCCCGAGTGCTGGGATTAAAGGCGCGCGCCACCACCGCCCGGCTTAAGTTTTTTTTAATTATCTCAATCAGTAAAGATAGAGGTTTATTCTTTATTTACAAGCAAATGCTAACGTTGATAACTAACATGAAAAAAAGAGATTTGTTACATATAAAGGAAATTTTATGATATAAAGATAAGTTGAGACATGTAAAGTTTTGCCAGGCTGTTTTCTCAAGTTACTTCCTATGCATACACTCCTGAGCAGACCCCACTGTGATTCTGAAGTTTTCTGCGTTTAGCTTAAAAGATGTTTCTTTCCAAGAAACTGAACTTTTCTTTCAAATGCACTTGACCGAATAGGAGAATTGGGCTCATAGAAGGGATTCATGGCAAACTTGATGTACAGATCATAGACATCGGTGAAGAAGTTCTTGATGCCATCTTCTTGCCTCATGTCGTGAAGCATGATGAATCTCATGTGCCCAGCAGTGACGAAAGCTGACACAAACCACTCATTGAATTTGTCCACGGTTTTCAAGTACATGCTGTTGGACAGCCACACGTTTTCATCAACCAGGTCCAGGGCGGCGTGAGCTATGAACTGGTTCAGGTGTCGGTGTTCATCTTTGGGTTCTGCTTTCCCAGCTGGCAAAAACTCCATTTCAAAAACTGGATTATCATGGTGGCCGACAATTACAAAGTAGAAGCTTCCAGACATCGTCTTCTGTAAATGTACAGCTCCTGTAGTGAGATGCTGGCAACAGAAACACCCGGTCAATACATGAAAAATTTTATTTTATTTTATTTTTATTTTTGTTTTTGAGATAGGCCATGTTAGCCTTGAAATCTCAATCCTACCTTAGCCTCCTAAGTGCAGGTATTACAGGCATTAGCCACCACACCTAGCTACCTTTATTAAAATTTCACCCTTCCCCCAACGATTTAATATACCTCTAGCATACACTAAATCTGCATATGCATTTCCTTTATCTTTGGGTTTTTGTACTTTTTATGAAACAAAAGGAAAGCTGCTCATCATCTAGATCATTTCAATAGGTTCAGAAAATAAATTTGACAAAAACCTACCATCTTTCATTGATTAAAAACAGAAAAATAGCCAGGCGGTGGTGGTACACGCCTTTAATCCCAACACTCAGGAACAAGAGGCAGGTAGATCTCTGTGAGTTCGAGGCCAGCCTGGTCTACAGAGTAAGATCCATGATAGCCAGGGCTATACAGTGAAACTCTGTCTCAAAAAAACAAAATCCAAAAGTAAGTTTACAATTAATGGTCACAGACTGCAGGGCCATGGTAGCTCACACCTGAAATCCCAGCACTGTAGAGACTGGGGCAGAAAGACTGTCAGGAATTTGAGGCCACCGGGGCTACCCAGTGAGTTTCAGCAAGCCAGGGCTAGAGTCTGAGGTGCTGTCTCTAAAAACAAAACAAAACCAAAAAACTACAAGCTAAAAGCTTTCTTCTTCTTCTCCTTTTTGTTTTTTTTTTTTTTTTTTTTGAGACAGGGTTTCTCTGTGTAGCTTTGCGCCTTTCTTGGATGGAACTCGCTTTGTAGACCAGGCTGGCCTCGAAGCTTTCTTCTTAAAATCAGAAACAAGGCAAGATCAGGCCTCTGCCTTTCGGGCTAAGATAAAGTTTAGGAACTCGGGGAGAGTGCCTCTCTCTGCCACTTCTGTTCAGCACTGTACTGGAGATGTCAGCCAGGGAAATAAAGCTAATGGAAAGAAATAAAAAGCATTCACACTATAAAGTCAAAACTGTCTGAAGTTGATATCATATACATAAAATGCCCTATGGAACCACTTACAGGAAGGTTCAGTAAGGTTACAGGAAACAAGATCAAGACAGAAACAACAGCTGGATTTCTCTAGACTAGCAACTAATCCAGGAGTGATGGAGAAGGGACAATCACTTAAGAAAATATTTTCCGGCCAAGAGCACTGGCTGCTCTTGCAGAGGGCCTAGGTTTCCAAAGAAAATCCCTGAAGAATTAAAGAATCTGACCATTCTTGAAAAGGTATAAGCGGGGTTGGGGATTTAGCTCAGTAGTAGAGCGCTTGCCTAGCAAGCGCAAGGCCCTGGGTTCGATCCTCAGCTCCAAAAAATAAAAAATAAAAAAAAGTTATAAGTAAATCACGGCAGGGGAGTCTTTTTCTTCAATGGTATAGCCACTGTTAATTTGTCTATGTTCCAGTAAATAACCTCCTACCTATGTATATGCAAATGACCCTAATTAGACTTTAGACTCTGTGGGTCTCTCTTTCTGTGTGTCAACACACACACACACACACACACACACACACACACACACACACACACACACACACACACGAGGCCAGTGTGTAAAGGTACTTGTCATGTATGCACGGTGACCCAAGTTCAATTCCAGAACTCACATAAAGGTGGAAGGAGGAGCCAGGTTTGGCTTGGTAGCACATGTTCTTAATCCCTGAGCTCAGGAGGCAGAGGCAAGAGGATCCCTTGAGTTTGAGCCTCATTTGTCCACAAAACAAGTTCCAGGACCACTAAGGCTACATAGACAGAACTTGTCTCCAAAAAGAAAAGAGAAATAGAAGACTCAAGGACAGAACTGACTCCATAAAGTTGTCCTCTGACCGCCACACATCTACAGGCACTCACACTAATGTATCGTATACAAACACAATAATAGTAATTTTAAAAATGTAAAAACATGGAAATAAAAAGAGGAACTTATGCGGGAAGAAGGGTTCAATGGGAGTGGGGTGAGAGGGTGTGAAAAGTACATTATACACATGTCAAAGGAACTTGTCAAGGGATGATAATTTTAAAAAACATTGAGTGGAATATCATCCATGTTTATGGATTAAAGATGGCAATACTCCTACAGACCTACAGACTCGATGTGGCTTCTTTCAAATAGCCATCTAACTTATTTCTGAACTTAACCACACAATTGCGGAAGTAATGACAGAGTGGTACTGGCCTAAGTTACGACATATCAAAATGACCAATGGGATTCTTTTTTTTTTTTTTTTTGGTTTTTCGAGACAGGGTTTCTCTGTGTAGCTTTGCGCCTTTCCTGGGACTCACTTGGTAGTCCAGGCTGGCCTCGAACTCACAGAGATCTGCCTGGCTCTGCCTCCCGAGTGCTGGGATTAAAGGCGTGCGCCACCACCGCCCGGCCTACCAATGGGATTCTCATCCATTAAGTAAACACGTACATTTGCCATTTGATTTTATTATCTACCTTTTAAAAAAAAATTTAAAGGTGTTACGTAGTCCAGACTGGCCTCTAACTGTCAGAAGATGGCTTTGAATTTCTCACCCTTCTGCCTCCCCCTTTCCAGTGCTGGGATTATCCACTATGCCCCTCTTAATTTTTTTTTTTTTTTAAACTTTATTTCCGGGGCTGGGGACCAGATCCAAAGCCTCGGTGCTCGCTCGGCAAGAGCTCCACCACTGAGCCACACCCCATCCTAAGGAAAACGAAGCACACACCCACTGAAGTGGTCAAACTGTGTCTTCCCGGCCTCCCCCTGCACACCCCCCCTTCTTCCCCTCTCCAGCTCTGGACTTGGCGTTTTGCTACAGGGTCGTGCTGTCCCACAGACTGGCTTAGGACTCGGGGCGACCCTCCCGGGCGCCTAAGCGCTGGGATCACAGGCGAGCGCCGCGCCGCCCAGTGTGGGGCTCTGACGACTGCCAATACCTCACAGAAGCCGACTTCCTCTAGTTCAGGAGTGGTGGTGCCGGTGACGGTGGGGAAGGGGTCCAGCGCCCATGACCCAACCTTAACGTCCCCTCACAGGCTCGCTCCGCCCATCGGAGCGGGAAGGCGGCCGACTGAGCATGCGTACACGTTCGCGCCTATCAAGGAGCGCCTGGACGGCCCGCCCCGGCTGCCATCTTGACACCGAGAGGGACGGGAGACTGCGCATGCTCGCGAAAGCGCCAAGTGCACGGTTTCCCCCCCCGGCCTGACTCTGGCCGCCATCTTGGATCAAGGCGGCTCGGACGACTGGGCATGCGCCCATGTGCCGCGCGTTGGGATTTGGCCGCCATTTTGGGTCTGGGCATGGTAGGACGTCGGGTGTTGGCGGACCTTGTCGGGCTCTTACAGCTCTGCCTTGCCTTCACCGCATGAATACTTGCCGCTGTTGTCACTGATGTTCACTCGGAGGTGTAGCGAACCGGCACGTGGCGTGAGAGGTGGAAGAAACATGCCAAGTGAGGCGTAGTTTGAGACGACATCGGTGCCAGAAAGCAAAATGGAGGTTGTAGCGCCAGGCGCCGGTGTCCAGTCTGCGGGCCTTATTCGTGGGCGGAAATGCGTAATAGGAGGAGGATGGTTTAGGGAGCAATTCAGCTGGGGTTGGTTTGGTGTTGATTCTCATCTCGCACTCTGCTTTTTCAAGTGTATGCCTGGTTTCTTCACAGTTTTTCCTTATGTACTTACTACAAATGACTTTACTGGTGACGGCATTCTGTATCCCTTTATCCCCTAAACAGACACTCAGAAGCTGCTTTTGCTAAAAAGCATTGACTTCTCTCTTGGGGCCCTAGGGTGACAAAGGTGAAGTTTGGCGTCTCTGCTTTTATTTTTGTATTTGCTGAAAACAGTAATCTTGGTGCCCTACAAAAGAACAGAGTAGCTCTCGGGGGCTTTCGTGGTTTTTGTTTGTTTGCTTTGCTTTTTGTTCTTTCAAGACAGGGTTTCTCAGTTCTGGAACTCACTTTATAGACCAGGCTGGCTTCGAACTCAGAGATCCGACTGCCTCTGCCTCCTGAGTGCTGGGATTAAAGGCATGCGCCGCCGCTGCTGCGGCCACCACCACCACCACCGCCAGACTGGGCTTTCGGGTTTTAAAGAAGGTGTGTCAGGATCCAAACTAAGGCAGGAGGTTCACTGGTTTTTATTTTAACAGGTGATGACTATGTCTTTTCCCCATTGGCTGGGGTCTGACGTTCGAGATTGGTTAGTTTTGAAAGACTAACCAAGGGAAAAACGTAAAGGGGTCTTGTCTGTGCTCCAGGCAGCAGGAAACTCTGGAGGGGAAAAGATGTGTGTGTGTTTTTTTTTTTTTTTTTTTTTTTTTTTTCGAGACAGGGTTTCTCTGTGTAGCTTTGCGCCTTTCCTGGAACTCGCTTTGGAGACCAGGCTGGCCTCGAACTCACAGAGATCCGCCTGCCTCTGCCTCCCGAGTGCTGGGATTAAAGGCATGCGCCACCACCGCCCGGCGTGGTTTGTTTTTTAAAAAAAAGTTTACCAAGTGGGGGAGATATATGGAATATTGGTTGTTGCCTTTATTAGAAAAACAACATCAACCAAACTTCTCACGTCTCCTTTACTTTCTTTCAAATACCTGCGCACTTCTGTGTAAGCAGAGTGCTTATGTACCTATTTCAAACCCCTTCAAACTTGAAGGCACAAAAAAGTCATTGTGGTCACCTTGATAGGGATAGAAGTTAGGAAAATGTGAGTTAAAGTGCCTTCTACAAGGCTTCAAGTATCACTTGTTTTTTGCTTGTTTTTGATTTTTGGAAACAAGGTTTCTCTTTGTAGCCCTGGCTCTCTCATAACGGCCTATGTAGACCAGGCTGGCTTCAAACTCAAGAGGTCGGCCTGCCTCTGTCCCCGGAGTGCTCAGATTAAGGGTGTGTGCCTATCACCAATTGGCTTCAGGTATCATTTGAGCCATATAAGGATGAATATTTCAGCTTTGAGCAAGCTGCTCACAAGCTTGTATTAGTGAACCTGACTACTGTTTTTACCTCCGATTCAGAAACCTTTATCTCTGTATGTGCAGACTTATGTGTCTATGTTCATTTTTCAGAGCACTTTTGGTATGGAGGCCAGAAGTTGAAGTCAGGTGTCACCCTTTGTTACTGTTCACCTTGGATTTTGAGACAATCTCCCTGTGTAGCCCTGACTGTCTTTAAACTTATCATCGCCGGGCGGTGGTGGCGCATGCCTTTAATCCCAGCACTCGGGAGGCAGAGCCAGGCGGATCTCTGTGAGTTCGAGGCCAGCCTGTGCTACCAAGTGAGTTCCAGGAAAGGCGCAAAGCTACATGGAGAAACCCTGTCTCGAAAAACCAAAACAAAAACAAAAACCAAAAAAAAAAAAAAAAAAATCATTATGCTTAACTTGAGAATCTTACCAAAAGTTTTACAATAAGTTGTTGAGATGCTCAGAAATAAGTGGATTATATGCATTAAAAACACATTATTGAATCTTCATATATCCCTGTAGACTTTGAGCCAACCTGAGGATATACAAGGAGAGATTTTTTTTTTTTTGTACCAGGTGTCATAAAGGCTTCTATAGGCACTTAGACCTGAGAGTCATGAGGCCTTACACAAGTGAAATAAGCCTTTCCAATGTAGTACATGTGGAAGGTCTTTCAGCAATAAAGCCAATTTTCAGGCTCATGAGGATTTCATGAGAGAAGCCCTATACCTGCTCAGTTTGTAACTGTAGCTTCCCCCACTCATCCACATACCACTGTCATCTGAGAAATTGTCACAAATCAGACTGACTGTGTACTTCCTCTCCAGAGGTTAGCAGGGCTACAGCCTCGGTGTCTCATGTGCACATGAAGAAGCATGTAGTTTCCAAACGCAAACACATGTGACATGTTAACTTCTGGATTGTTCCCTCTATCTGCTGTCACATTCCAGTGCCATGTGCAGGTAAAGAAGATGAGTCATTTGTGTGTTCACTAAAATTTTTTGAATGTCTTAAGGTAGCTTATAATTTGTGCCTGACATGTATTAAATAAATGAATGGAACTGTTAAAAAAAACAAAACAAAACAAAACCAAACAAAACAAAACCCACATTATTGAGCTGGGCAGTGGTCCTTTGATCCCAGCACTCAGGAGGAAGAGGCAGGCAGATCTCTGTTAAGTTCAAGGCCAGCCTGGTCTACAGAGTGAGTTAAAGTACATCTAGGGCTACACAGAGAAAAGTCCTGTCTCTAAAAACTTCAACAACAAAAACCTGTTGAGTAAAATAAAAAGTGAATTAAAAACACAAGGCCATTAAAGTCAATCTTGGAAATAAAAAATATAGCCATACAAATATAAAATCAATAATAAACTCCAGTTTAGGCATAGACAAGAATTAAGGAAAACAGTGCTGGTTATGACTGCTTATACTTTTAATCCCAACAGTCAGAATTTCAAGGGGCTGGAGAGATGGCTCAGAGGTTAAGAGCACTGGCTGTTCTTCCAGAGGTCCTGAGTTCAATTCCTAGCAACCACATGGTGGCTCACAACCATCTGTAATGAGATCTGGTGCCCTCTTCTGGCTTGCAGACCTACACGCAGGCAGAACATTGTATACATAATTAATAAATAAATCTTTGAAAAAAAAAAAGAATTTCAAACCTAGCTACCCTTGCAGAGCATCAACTCAATTTAAGGCTGGGGATATGGCTTAGTTGGTGGTGTTTGCCCAGCTCAAATGAAGGCCCCCTGACTCCCCAGTACAACATAAACCCAGGCATGGTGGCATACTCTTATTATAATTCTAGTACTTAGGAGGTAGAGGCAAGAGGATCAGAAGTTAAAGGTTTTATACTTGGCTACATAGTGAGTTAGAGGCGAGCCTAGGCTTTATAAGAGCCTATCCCCCAAAATAAAACCTTGTGGAGGCAAGGCCACCAATCTGGACTATAAATAACCAGCCACTGTTTATAAGCTCTTTTAATTAACTTTATTGAATAGCCAAATTCATAAGTTAGCACAGATCAAACGATTGTTTGCATGGGTTACAAATGACTTTTTTTAAAAACAGGAATAAAACAGTGAAAATTACAATCTGTAAAAAGGAAGAAAAATCTTGTTTCTTAACATTTCAGAGAAGAGACTGAACACAACACATTGAAGATCAATACTTATTTTTGATTCGAGACAAAGGACTTAATGTTACAATATTATACACTACTTTACAAAATTAAATTTTCTATGTAAGGATTGTGTTTCTAATAGTTAAAACTGTGAAATCACATTTGGTGGTCCCCTAGATAACAGCTGTTATGCATCTCTGATTAGAAGTTTAAATCTTTTATTCTAATTATTGCAAAACAGTCTATTAGACTCATTACATTACATTAAATTAAAATATATGCAAGCTAAAATAAATGGTACTGCTTGAGTGAATATTAGTATGTCAGACTTAGAGAAACATTATTTAAAAATTCTAGAAATTAGAAAAATAGAGACTTTTTATGGTCGAACTGCCATGCTCAGATTTATATATCAAGATTACCCTTGTCTGTTACTTTAGTAGTTGTAGATCTGTAGAAAATTCAAGGATCTTTCATAATTTACAACTACAATAAAAAAAATATGGCATAGTGTAAATATTAGTTGCTTTACATCAGAAAGTAATACAGGATGATAGGATGGGTAGTGTCTTACTGCCAAAACAAAACAAACTAAAAAACACATTCAATATCGCAAAAAATAATTATATCAATATTCCACAAAGGTTCATTCTCTTATCTAGAGAATGAAAATCATGAACCCTAAATAGTTATGTTTTTATAACTGTTATAAAATTACTCTGGATTGCACATTACATGATATCTAAAATAAAATTTAAAGTAAATTTGTGAAATAACTAACCAAGCAGGTGCTAGCTAATAAGGGTCAGACTCACTCACTCAGGGAAGGACTGAGGCACAAGGAAGGTTTCCCTAGGAGTGCAACATTTCCCTCTGGAAGATTCCTTACTACAAAGAAAGAACCTACAAATACCAACATTTAAAAATCACATTAAAAAGAGAACTTTAGTTCATTTAAAGGAACATCAGTACATAATGGCTGTTTCTTAAAAAGAGGGGGAAATTATATAAATTTAATTG